GAAGCATTAAAAAAGACTAAATCCAAATTAGCACTAGGCATATCAAAAACAAGCTATCTACTGATAAATAAAGTAGGACCTATAGTGCAAAAGTCTTCTAATATCTTACAAGTTTATGCATTAAAAAAAAAAATCTTATACAAATAGAAGTTTAGCAAATTATATTTAATATCTAAGAGAAAGAACTAGAACTATAATTTGTTAAACATATGACTAATTATACTATTAAAAACTTTTCACAAAATAGTAGTTAGAGTTTGACATATAGGCTAAACAAAACCTTAATAAAGTATAATATTTTACAAAGATCTAATTATACTAGTCTTCTAGGAGACAGCACAGCAAGCTCTATATATATCTTAAATAGTATAATTGAAGATACAAAACAAAAAAATAATGAGCTATAGATTTTTTTCCAAGATATGTACAAAGCTTTCAACTCTTTTAGTCTAGAAATACTAAAAAAAGCTCTCAAAAGAATAAAAATACTAGAAGTAGTAATAAACTTTATTTTAAATTTATTCAAAAAATGAAAAATTAAAGTAGTTACTAGCTTCAGTCTAACAAATAAATTTGAAGCAAAAGATGGTATATATTAAGAAGAAGTAATCTCTCTACTAGTTTGACATATCTTTTATGACCCTTTACTATATGCAGTTCAAAAAACAAAAGATATAGAGTATAAGATAACAATAGAATGGCCTACAGATCTAGTTTATAATAGCTCTAAAGAAATATCATACTAACAAGCTATTCTCTTATATATTGATGATACGATCTAAATAGCAAGATCTAAGAAAAAGCTACAGAGAATAGTAAATATTGCTAACGAATTCTATATCTTAAATGATATTGAAATCAATAACAAAAAATCAGAGTTAGTAGTTATTAATACTAACAAAAAAAGAAAAAACAAATCAAGATCTATACTCAATTAAACTAGGTAAAAAAGAAGATAAAGTACTTATAAAAAAGTGAATATTTTTAATATAGTATTATCGCGTAATGTGATTAACTCATAGTATATGTTATAATAAAAAAAATTACATCTAAAAAATATCAAATGAGATGACGCACTCAATTGACTCGTCAAATGAGAAAATTTTTTTTCACAAAAATCTTTTATATAGTGAGTTGACTCACCACTAATTGTTTATTAGTAAATTGACTCAGTCAAATGATGACTAACTCAGTCAAATGAGATGATGTACTTAATTGACCGTCATCTCATTTGACACTCAAAAAAATATATATAAAGAATTGATTTCCCTGAGTTAACTCTAAAAAAAACTCAGTGCTTAATAATCACCTTATGAGAAAATTCTCTAAAGGCACTGATGAATAATTAACTTTCTAATTATTCAACAAAAAAAAAATTATAAGAAATTATTGTTTTTTGTTCCTATTTTTTTAATATTTTTTAATAATAACGAAACTTTTTTTAACAAAAAATCGATCCCATAAGACATTTCTCATAAGTTAACCTGCAAAACACTATTAATAAAAGTTGTAGCCACGATCATTTTACATTAGGATCTCTGTTTTTAGATCAAACGGATCAAAACTTGTGAAATGATGATGATTTTTCTCTCAAAAATGTGTTACAAAATTTTTTTTTAAATATACAACAACTTTGGACGAAGAATTCTCCTATTTCTCCAAATGAAACAACAAAAATGGTTCTAAGTAAACTTGTTCGCATGGTATTCTTCTGCTTATATCTCAAATTTTAGCTTTATTGGACAAAAACTCGTGAATAGATGGCAATTTTACGTTTGTATATTTTTTTTTCTTTAACGTTTTGATGAAAAATTTACCCTTCACCCTTAGATTTTGAGAATCCACATAATAACTTGTATTCAAATTTCACAGGCTGATAGGGAAGGATCATAAAATTTTTCCTATGAAGTTTCAAGTCATTTAGATAAGTATTCGTTGAGTTATTAATTTTTTTCATTTGCAAACAGATGTAACTTTATATTTTTAATAGTAAGAAAGTAGAAATTCGTTAAATTCAATACTTTGGTCAAAGTTAACATCAAAAGTGTTCTTAAGTAAGTTGGTTCAGATGAGGTTCAAGAGTTAACATACAAAATTTCAGGTCAAACGGATCAAAACTCGTAAAATGATACTGAATTTTGATGAAGACAAATTTGATATTGTTTTTGCAGATCATTTTTTAAAATGCTGCGAAACACCAAAAATCACGTTTTTCTTAAAATTTTATTATGACAATTTATTACTGCGCAATAATAAAAAAGATGTATATCACAAAAAAATATGTAGTTTCATAAGATCATTTTGTATATTTCTCTAATAAATTTTAAGTTATCATCAATTTTTATTGTTACAATTTTTTTATCTAATAAGTATCTTTGATACCTATTAGATTTTTAGTTATGTAAATTTAAAAAATGTCTAAAACAAACTCTGAAAAAGCTATAACTCCTGATACAAGATTTAGAAAATTTAATTTTACTTTATATGAAAGACTTGAAACCTTTCATGATCATATTGAAAAAATATTCAATACAAAATCTTGTATATTTAAAATTTTACAATTTCAATTTGAACCAAATCATAATTCTTCAGAACCTGGAAGATATCATGCTCAGGGTTATGCAAGATTAAGAGAAGGAAAACAGAGTCGTGTAGGAGATTATAATTTAGAAACAAAAAAAGGATCTGGATTAAAATTAATTTTTGAAGCAAATGTTCATTTAGAATAGGCTAATAGAACAGAAGAAGAATGTTTAGCTTATATATCAAAAGATTATGAAAGATGTAAACTTCTAGAACATAACCCTAATCCTAAAAAAGGATTAAAATACAGATGCGATTTTAAAGATCTTTCAAAAATTTGCATCTATTGCAATGAAAATTGTGAAAGACATTTTGCACGTATTACTAAAGATTCAACTGCAGGGCTATTTTTATTTATTTATGATAAAGCTAAATTTGATAATGATGAAGAAGAAAAGTCAAATTTTTATAAAGAAGCAATTGATAAAGTTTTGAAAGGAGAAGATGTTGATAATGTTATAGTTGAATTAGCACCAAATTGTGAAAGATGGGGAAATACAACAATAGGTTTACATGATATTGCAAAGTCACAAAAGAAAAAAATTATAAATCCTCTTAGAAATATTAAACGATACTGGGAGCTATGTGTTTTTTATGTTTATGGAGATAATGGAACTGGTAAAAGTGATTTTTTTTCACAATTATTTCCTGGATGTTATGAGAGAGATGATATGAAACAATGGGAATTTTATAATAATGATGAGTTTGATTATGATCGAGATATAGCAATTTTAATAGATGATTTTTATGGTGGAATGTCTTGGACAAATTTATTAAAGCTAACAGATAGAAAACATTGTCGATTTGATGTTAAGTATGATAAAACACAAATTGTTGGAATGTA